AATTATTCAAATAATTACCTCAGTTGCTCGACTCGTTTTTCGACTTCATCAAGCATGTTCACAACCTGCTCATTGAAATCGTCAATACTTCGATTTCGCATCAACGTCATCGTCATAGGGCGAGAGTTGCTCGACATCTGCAAGTATTCTATCAGCCCCTGGACTGGCCACAGATGATGCACACCGCAAACAGCACTACGCAAAATCGTTGCAATGAAAATTCGCTCGTCAATCTGGCCAAATACAAAAGAGTACGAAAAATGGGGGAAGGACACAAGCCACATGCGGACACGGACAACTGCACTAAAGTTGTTAGTGAGCGGATGTTAAGCTGTGCAAAGTTGATAAGCTGAAAAACGATCAAACCTCATCAAAGCTGGTGGTCGTGGAGGTGTTCGACGGAGGCGGTGGCGATGGAGATGCCGCAATAGAAGAGGCTGGCTTTTCGATAATGGTATGCTGCTGCGGTAGTGGTGACGGTGGAGCTTCAGGTGCTCTTTGAATAGTGATCGGAATGATTCTAGCGGCCATCGTCTAGGACAGGATTGAGCAGCGTACAACACGAAAGGACTCGAGCTCGAGCTTCACTGAATAGCTGGTGGACGAGAGGACCGAATGGGCAGAGTCGAATGCGATGTGGGCTATTGTCAGGACGAGTGTGGAGAGCCTATTCATGAAACGCACGCTTTTTATGACGATATTCGAAAATCGTTGAATGAATCACGAGGCAGTAAATAGAGAAATAGCCATCTGATAACAAGTCCTGTTATCAGACAAGGTATTCAAAGTGAATTTCATAAGAAGAGTGCTTAATGGTCACCCCCATGATTAACGGCTTCTGATATGAACATTTTTTAAGCATCAATTTTATCAATTTTGAATTCCTATTCGCTTTTGGAAAAAGAAATTCCGGCGCAGTTCGACTTGGTGGGGACATTTTGCTAGTTCTCATCGATTATTGCGGATACCTCCTACGGATACCTGTGAATTCCTGTCAAGCTATTCTCCATATCCATGAGACGGAGTAGGCGTGGCATTTGGATGTGGCATGGGACGGGCCACTCGTGGGATGTTTCAATTTGAGACAACTGTCATCTTGTTCTGTG